GACAGCTGCAAAAGATTCATTCATTTAATTTGTTTTAAACTAATCGTTGATTCTTTTGATGAAATCACAGTTGCACTTAATAAAACAGAATTACAAGCAGTAATGAAAGGTGTCAGTCTTTAAACGATTGACATTGAGATTTTCAGTCCTTTTCTAACTGCTCTGTTTTCTGTTTCTTGTAGGTCATACCCTGAAAAACAGCGGGTCCTTTGGTGCTTGGTATGTAAAATCTTTCATTCTTGTGGTCAGTGCTGTGTATGTCAGTCTGGGGTTGAAGAGAACTGGAAAACAAATGACAATCAATGACATCCATAAATCTCTAACTCTGTGCCTCTTTTACTCCTTAGCCTAGTTCAGGCCTCTCGTTCCTTTCATCAGTCCTCCCAGAGTCGTGCACCTGTTCCCCCTCTGCCCGAGAAGGGAGGAAAGGTCCGACATGGCATCTTCCCAGAGGAGCTTTTCACACTGCTGTATCCCAAGACCGGTGTGACAGGTCAGTTTGTCATCTTTATTGCCTCCTTTCCTAGTGTTTCCCAGTTATCCAGGTTCCTGTTAATCTTTTAAATGAAAAGTTCACTCTAAAATAGAAATTATTGAAAAATATTTATGCAGAAGTTTACCATGCAACAACAGTTCACAGAGATTAGGTCTATCATGTCTCAGAATGAACAAATTCACTTGTTGTTTTGCTAACTGCATATCACAATTCCGTTTTAGTTAGATGAGTAGTGCAGTCCTACCTCACGGTAGCTTTATGTGATTAGCAGATTGATAATAACATTGTTATTCACTAATAATCTCTTCATCCAAAAGAGCTGTGTAAAAATTATTTTCTTATAACAGCGAGCGAGAGCCAGTACATTGATGCACAGGTTTGTTTGTGTCAGTGGTGTTCTCTTCTGTTTGCAGGGCCTTATATGCTGGGCACTGGTCTGCTCCTGTACATGCTGTCTAAGGAAATCTACGTAATCAATCACGAGACGTTTGCTGCTGCGTCAATCGGTGCGGTGATCATTTACGGCGTCAAAAAGTTTGGGCCCAGTGTGGCCACCTTCGCTGATAAAATCAATGAGGTGCAGAAAGTGTTTTGTATTCAACAGAAATGTCACATGTGAAGTTGTATTGAGAGTGGAATAGTATCTGCTGATAAATTTGATGTTGTGAACAATTACCCCAAATGACTGTAACTAAGGGATTTGTTTGACTAATATTTGGTTCTCTCTCTTCCTCTGCAGGATAAAGTGGCAGAGGCTCAGGAAGTGAAGGATCAGGCCATGGCTAGCCTAGCTCAAGGCATTGAGGATGAGAAGAAGGAGCAGTGGAGAGTAGAAGGAAGATGCATGCTCTTTGATGCCAAGAGGGTGAGGAGGACAGAATAGCCAAATACTGTGATATTTTTCCAGTGACAGATCATCTGCCTTCATTTACTATCGATAAATACACAAATCCACACTTGTTTACATTTAAATTTGGAATTATTTACAGATAACTTTTAGAATGGCACTAAGTCTAGTTTTGTGACGCTCCTCTTCCCATCTTCCATCAGAACAATGTGGCTATGCTGCTGGAGACCAATTACAGGGAGCGGCTGCACATGGTGACCAATGAGGTGAAGAAGAGGCTGGACTACCAGGTGGAGCTTCAGAACCTGCACCGCCGCATGGAGCAAGAGCACATGGTGAACTGGGTTGAACAGAGCGTCATCAAGAGCATCACCCCACAGCAGGTACAGGGAATATGGTCACTCCATTGACACTTCACTGTATTCATATTATACACAGGAAGCATTTGCTCAAGGTGGATAGTGTTGTTTTTCCAGAGAAGAAGCTTATGCTACATAATATTCGCAAGTATGGTAATTACAGACCTTTTATTTGAGTTTCTCTAATTATTACTATTTTCATTTAGTGTAAACAGTAATATTACAGAGAAAATTGTCTTATGTTCTTTTTTTTCAGAATCATTTGAGCATTTCTGTGGCCAGTTGCATAAAATGCTTAGACTAGTCTTACAAGTTTATCTGTTGGTAACTGCTTGTTGGTCAGACTAGTTCTTAAGACAGTCTTAACATAGAGACTAAGTTTATGCAACTGACCACTGGTCAACCACAAATGCGTCCAAATATAAATGTTGCTTTAGTCCAGAATCTATATACATTAGTCATTTTTAGCTTGGCCTCTAGGTGGAGACTTAGTATTCAACACTTCTTCAGCAGTTATAGTAATGGTGTAATTGCTAAGATGATATGTGGGCAGAAGATTTTGATGGAATGGTGTGTTGTTTTTCCAGAGAAGAAGCTTATGCTGCATAATATTCGCAAGTATGATAATTACAGACCTTTTATTTGAGTTTCTCTAATTATTAACTATTTTCATTTAGTGTAAACAGTAATATTACAGAGAAAATTGTCTTATGTTCTTTTTTTTCAGAATCATTTGAGCATTTCTGTGGCCAGTTGCATAAAATGCTTAGACTAGTCTTACAAGTTTATCTGTTGGTAACTGCTTGTTGGTCAGACTAGTTCTTAAGACAGTCTTAACATAGAGACTAAGTTTATGCAACTGACCACTGGTCAACCACAAATGCGTCCAAATATAAATGTTGCTTTAGTCCAGAATCTATATACATTAGTCATTTTTAGCTTGGCCTCTAGGTGGAGACTTAGTATTCAACACTTCTTCAGCAGTTATAGTAATGGTGTAATTGCTAAGATGATATGTGGGCAGAAGATTTTGATGGAATGGTGTCTTTTCAAGGTCTAAACATGTCAAATTAATGTTGTTCTTTAGCTAATTTAGGTTGCACTTTATTTTAAAGTATCAATAGCTGTGTAATTATGCAGTAACAGAATAATGATAAATATACTACAGAGTTTGGTTTAGGGTTAGTTGATTGTAATTATGCATAATTTGCTGTTATTACTGTAGTAACTAACATGCATAACAATGGCACTGTAAAACAGGGTTATCCTAATTTAGACCAACTTTACCCATTTATGTGTACTACACATAATGTACACCTGTACTACAAAATAATTGTTCTGATACTGTTATTACCGTTTTTGTATTTTCTTTTTTTACTGTTATCTCTACAATCTCAATTTTTGTTTGTGTCTTTCAGGAGAAGGAAAGCATCGCCAAGTGCATTGCAGATCTGAAGGTCCTGGCCAAGACCACTCAGGCTCAGGCTACAGTATAGGTCTCTATCAATGTCCACACTAAAGCCTCTTGTTTTCATTCTAAATGAACCCTTTCCTCATGAACATGACAGTCTGGCAGTGTCGTTTATTTCAGTTTGTTTTTGTTTAGTGTCTGGTCTATTTTCAGAGTTGTCTGGTCTAAGTTCATTTTAGTTTTTATTTAAGTTGTATTTTAGGACTGCCAAAGCCAATGCGCTAATTGATATCATTTGAATTGTTTAATGGCGGTAGATATTGCTGTCTAGTAGCATTTTCACATTTCACAATTTTTTTTTTTTAAGGTTTCAAGCTTTATAATATACGTATATATATATCTAAAATTAACATTTGGCCATTTTTTTTTCATTGTTAGTGTTGACATCTGGTGTGGAAGAAGTTGACTTTGTTGTTTGTTGTGGCAAAAACAATTATTAACAAATAGCATCACAGTGTAAGAGACAAGGAATCAAATTATATTTAAGGAAAGAAGTTTATTTTCCTTAAAGAGGTATGTTCACAATGTTTCAGCAGCTACCCTGAAACACAACAGACCTAAAATCACACTGAAAACAGACAGCCTTATTATACTGTTATCACCCCCCACTTCTTACAAGGTTCCTTCTCTGTAAATTTAAAAAACAATGGTCCTTCTAACCCCCTGGGCTTTTATTATCTTCACATCTGTGAGGTCAACAACCCCTCTGTCTTTCCTGCACTAAAGAGTTCAAAGGCTCTTTCTGATCATTTGTTTTTACTGTGTGTTTGTGTGCCTTCACACCCGTGAGGCCAAAGGTCTTTATTTATGACTAACCCCTCTGTCTTTCCTGATTAAATTACCCGCACTAAAGACTTCAAAGGCTCTCTGTTTTACTGTGTGATGTCTTTGTTGCATTCCAGGAGACATATATATAAAACATTAATTTTCCTACAACAATTCCTCCTCTTTATCATTCTCTGATAAACGATTTGGATTCATTAACATTAGTTTTGATTATAACAACTTAAAAACACGCTTGTTTCTAATTCTAAGCAAACTCATACATGATTATAATTGTTTCAAGTCATTTCATCACAGTTATACTCCTCATGTCTGACTTTCGTATACCTGATCATTCTTCACATTTCTGTGTAAATGTCATCACTCTCGTCACTCTCATAATCATCACATTTGTGTTCACTATCTATCGGATAAGCGGTCAGTTTTACTGCTTGTATGGGCGTCCCAGCCCTGACCAATCTCTGTACTGAGCTGGAAATACACCTCATAATGCATGGCAAGCAAAACAGAATCAGAATTCCTATCACTACAATTGGCAGAACAGTTTGAATTATCCTAAGAAAGTAAATAAGAAAGAGTAAAACATTATTTTTCCTACAACATGTTACTTTCAAACAAAAAAGGACCCTCTGAAAACTTTTCCAATAAAGTTTAGACACCCAGAATTCTTTAGAATCATGATATGGTGTAGTATTTCTCTGAAATTACAGAAATAGCCAAGCTAGTTTATCAGAAGTGGATGTCCACATTCTTTATGGTAGTATCCTGCATGTTGCAATAACACTGAGTTAACTGTTTTTTGTTGTTAAGAATAGTTCAGTTTAGAACAAACTGAGAACAGATAATATTCGAAATAACAAGAAATATAGTGATGTTACTGATTACATTTAGGGGTCATAGTCATTTATTGACAATCTGTTAACTATCAAAATTATTATTCTGATAATTATTATTTATTAATTATTTACAATTAAATTATTAAAACGATTATATATATATATATATATATATATATATATACACAGACATATTGTGTTGTGATTATATTATAGAGGCTTCTCACCTGAGCCGCTATCCCAGGGCTCTGGCATGTCTCGTCCTAGTGCCAAATCCATCTACAGTAAGTACAAAACCCATTTAAATAACATATCCTAAAAATAATGTACCATAATTATAACTTGACTTCAATGCTTTAGTGCAAAGGAAGCAGTATGCAGAATCAATCAGCAGACAACAAGACAACTTTCAGTACAGAGTAGAGGTAAGATTGAATCCATGTGTTTGTTAACTATACTTATTAACTAATAATTTTGAATTGTTTATTTGTGCTGACTGCATGTTACTGATGCATAATCTTAATCTGTTAGCACAAAGCCAACACCCACTTCACTAATGTGTGTTATACAATATAACAGACAACCAACGCTTATCTAACATGCACTGTAGAGATTTCGATTTCCACACAAACTGAACTGGAAAATGTGATGACGTAGCAAGGCTGAATTTCACAAATCCCTCTATAACAATAGCTTCTGTGTGATTCATATGTGATCATAAAACAATATAAAATCTAATTCTCTTTCTGTTCCCTAGCACCTGTTCACCTGTGTGTTAGATGGCAGAGAGGTGAGCAGCATTGATGACTGTGTGAACAGGTTGAAGAATATGGACAGTAAAGGGAAAGTGTGGGGTCAGGACATGATCATGCAGGTTCAGGCGAACCAGCTACAGCTGTGTGACATAGAGACCAAGGTCAGGTGCACACTTAATGCTCAAATACTCTAATCTGAGCAAATAGTTTGCCTTTTTAAATGGTTACATTACACAACAGTTAGTTCCGGTACTAACATTACACTCTTCCTCTGTTTCCTGGAATTGTAGGAGTTTTTGGAGTCTGTGCACTTGAGTAGCATCAGAGTGGCGAGAGCTGTTCTGGACAGTTGTGTGTATGACTCCCTTCTCATTATCTCAGTTCAGGATCCTAGCCAGAGAGCTCCACAGGCCTTCCTGTTCCAGTGTGAGGAGATTGGGGTGAGGAACAACACTCTGCTGTGTAGCCAAGAATGTTAGATTCATCCAAGGGTAGATAGTGGTGCATCTGCACAGTATAAATCTGTCTTAATATATCTTGTGGATTGATGTGGGAGTTTCCATTCCACTCCCTCTGTCAGTGTCCTTATTGATTTTTATAAAGGTATCTGTGGTGTTTTAAATCGCTAGGCTCAGGAGGTGGCAAATGATCTGGAAAAGGCAATACAGCAAGGAGGGGATGCCACACCACTGTTTAAAGAACCACAGATGGACATCAGGTCAGCTGCTGCCTCACAAAGTGTTGTACTGAGAATCAAGCATCAACTTTTTCCCTTTAAATGTGCTAAAATGTAATTTTCTAAATGGACATTATTGATTATTTAGGATAATAAATTAAATATATAATTTTTAAAAATGCTTTTGCTACAAATCCGTATTAAGTGAGCTACTCAAATGATCTAAATAACAAAGATCTATTATTTATTTTTTCTCTTACACTACAACCTCAATTTTTATCAGTGCTGTACTGACAGTGATATATTTTCTATTTCTTAGGAGCCATTTGGAAAGCATCATTGGTCGGGGTTATCCAGGGAGCATGAAGAGACCAGTTCTCATGCAGTCAAACCCTCCTCCCCCAGAATTCCCACCTCCTCAGTACAACAACTATGAAGACTATGGTGACCACTTGAAGAGTTAATTTCACTAAGAAAAATACACTTTTAAATAACCTAATCATAGACATGATTATAAACAACTAAATAAAAAAATAGTAAAATGGTAAAACATAAAATAGTAAAAATATTAAAAATAGTCACACTTGTGATCTTCGCAGTCAAAAATGTTCACCATAGGAACTGAATGGGAAATACAAAAATACAGAGCTATTATTGGTATATATGTAATACCATGGTATTACATATCAAATTCTTTATTTCTCTCAATATAACAGGATATATATATATATATATATATATACATGCATACACCAGAGGATTGTGCTCACCCACTAATGTATCATGTCAGAACAAATTTCTTTTTGTAAGTAATAGATCTTTTATAATTCTTTTCCCAGATGACAGACGGCCTTCACCCACTATGCCATTCCCCAGAGATGAAGCCCCTAACAGGCCAATGCAGTCCGAGCAAGAGCAGACTCAACCTCCATTCAGTGATGTAGAGAGAGATTCGGTTGGTTGTTTTTACTGACAATTTTATCACACGATATACTATTATCCATTCATTCATGAATCAATTTATTGACATTTCCTCTATTCATTTTATCATTCTCTACAGGAGATTTTTAACCATGTAGCGGCCGACATTGAGATCTTCACATATAAAGTTGGCTCAGCTTTGCCAGAAGATGATGGAAGCAAGAAAAAGAAAAAGAAAAATGCTGCAAAACAATTTGGTGAAAAATTAACACACAGCACTCGTTTTAATAATTACATTTTTTTATTTAATTATTTTTTCCCCCTAAAGGATGTAATGTAAAAAAAATCAACAAGATTTCAACATGACATTTTTTTTTATTATTTTTAATTATAGTTGCAAGTATGCCCCCTGTGGAGGAGTACATATCCTGTCTGCAGAAAATAAAGTATGGCTTTAACCTTCTGGTAAGTTATATAAATGTAATTTTTATGATTGTTCCTAACACTACCATTTGTATAATTTTTTCAGTAGTCTCATTAAATGAATTTTCAATAAAAAGCTCACCATTTTCATACTCATCTCTACTTGTGACAGGGGAAGCTGGATGGTCACCTAAAAAATCCTCCTGCTTCTGATTTGGTTCACAGTCTCTTTTCTTCCCTTGCCTTTGTAAGTATCTGTTTGTGCAGTTTGTTTGCATTGCAGTCACATTTCATATATATTTTTTTCCATTATGCAATGAAAATAGCTGTTATACACCTGAAACTTCAGATGGTGAGTCAGTAGGACCCACCTGACTTGTTACCTATTTACAAAAGCGTAGCAATGTATAAGAAAGTATAAGAAAGTTGTATAAGCATGTACAGTTTTGTATTAGGCATCTATGGTTCCATGAAGAACATTTAACATCCATGGAACCTTTCCGTTACACAGAAGGTTCTTTATAGTGGACAAAGGTTCTTTCGATTTTTACAGTGTTATTTACACTAAGAAAATTGGTTCTTTTAAGAACTGTTCACTGAAAGGTTGTTTGGGGAACCCAAAATGGTTCTTCTATGGTATCGCAACAGAAGGTTCCAAAAGTTCCCCCTTTTTGAACTTTTATTTTCAAGAGTGTACTGTCTGTCCAGAGAAAATTCTTTACTTTTGATGATTTAGTCACTTGTTCACCACTGAAACTTTACAACATATCACAAGGTTAAAGGTCAGGAGATGCACCATATAACCCCTCATCACACTCCGTTCCTGAATGTTTCTTCATGCTTCAGATGGTGAGTCAGTATCCTCCCAACATCCCTCCCACAGTGCTGAGTCCACTGCTCACAGAAAAAGCCCTGCATCTCCTGGGAAGATGCGTCACACCAAATGAGGACGTACTGTGGGGCAGTTTGGGTGACGCATGGAGCATCCCAAGGTCTTCTATTCTACAAAAAAAAATTCCTCACAGATTAGCAAACAAAGGAGAAAAACTCATACATTTTCTGTATTTGTTTTTTCCAATCAGATCCAAATGGCCAAACGGGAATCAGATCCCTCCGTATTATCCCGAATTTTACGACTGTTGGCAGCCCCTTCCGCCTGGTCCATCCCTGTCCCCTCCCAGCAGCAGGCAGCTGTCACGGAGCAACAGCGAACGCTTCCCACCCAGGAACGCCATGCAGAGGTCACCTGAACAGGTAAAATCTCTCAGAGGGCAAACTTCAGCTTAGTGATCTAAGCATGAGGATGTCATAAAATACGTCAGGTGTTTGACATATACATCTTAATCTAAGGTATAATAAAGTGAAATGAGTACAAATTACTGTTTAACCTCTCTTCCAGGACAACAGAGCCTGGAACACACCACCCATGCGGTGAGACATATCATGTGAACTCTCTTCGAAATACCCAAATATATAGGCAGTTGTGACAGCAATATAAAACAAAGTTTATTGAACTTTAAAAGTACATAGCCTTTAATGGACACTAAAGAATTTAAGAGGTAAGTTTCAAATCAAGTCTAGTAACACTTTTGTCTTATTTTATAGCAGGTCAGCTGAGCTGCCGCTCTACATGAGGGTGATCTATGACTTCATGGCAAGAAACAGTCAGGAACTGAGTGTGATGCAGGGTGACATGGTACAGGTAATCACCTGACCTTTAACCTCTTGATATGTAAACACACCCCACACAAAGGAAATTGTGCAACTTCAGGGGTGAACAAGTGACTAAATCAATATAACAAGTGACTAAATCAATAACGAATTTTGGTAACACTTTACAGTTAAGGTCCCATTAATTAATGTTAGTTAAAACATTAGTTTTAGTTAGTTCATGTCCAACAATTACAACTTTTGATTTTAATAATTTCTGTAAATGTTGAGCATAAAGTAATGAAGAAAAAGCATTTATTAATCTTGATTCATTTGAACTAAAGTAGTAACTAATTATAACAAGTTTGATCTTTTTTCTGTGTGCAGAAAATGCATACAGTTTGTGCTTATACACTGCTATGCTTATGTAAATAGATAACCGACAAGTCCGGGCAATGGTGGAAAGTGAAAAATAGTTCCAACAATTACAACTTTTGATGTTAATAATTTTTGTAAATGTTGAGCATAAAGTAATGAAGAAAAAGCATTTATTAATCTTGATTCATTTTAACTAAAGTAGTAACTAATTATAACAAGTTTGATCTTTTTTCTGTGTGCAGAAAATGCATACAGTTTGTGCTTATACACTGCTATGCTTATGTAAATAGATAACCGACAAGTCCGGGCAATGGTGGAAAGTGAAAAATAGTCGTAATGAGGACGGTTATGTGCCTCAGAATGTTCTAGAGCCTGTTGATGGACAAAGGCCAACAGTAAGTCATGGCCAATGCATACATTTTCTTTCAACAAATTAATTTTTTACAAACTTGCTCTACATTTTTCTTTAAAAACAATCATTTCAACAATGTATTAAGGACATACTAAACAATGGCTTCATTCTGATTTTTAAACATCAGCTGTATGAACACCAAAAAACTGGTCGGTCAATGTATGGCACCCAGTTTTTCATCACTGTTTGGTCAGGACATGTATTATGTATATTTAACCAGCTAATTGATTTTTGCTATACACAATTCATTGTTTTATGAATTTTGCACCTCTGTATTTTCAGCTAAATATGAGAGGACCTCCATCTCTAGATATGAATTCTAGGCCTGAGGAAGTTAAAGCCTGGTTACAGTACAAAGGCTTTTCTAAAATGTAAGAAACCAGTTCTATCATCTTTAATTTTATCTTTAAATTGAAAAGTGAAGTGACGTGTGGTGACCCATACTCGGAATTTGTGCTCTGCATTTAACCCATCCAAGTGCACACACACACCCGAAGCAGTGGGCAGTCATATTGCTGCGGCACCCAGGGAGCAGTTAGGGGTTTGGTGCCTTGCTCAAGGGTCTCAGTCAATACTTGCTCAATACCTCAGTCGTGGTATTGAAGGTGGAAGAGAGCGCTGGTTATTCACTCCCCCCACCTACAATCCCTGCCGGACCAGAGACTCAAACTCGCAACCTTTGGGTTACAAGTCCAACTTTCTTAACCATTAGGCCACGACTGCCCTAAAATACAGTCAAACCTACAAAAAAGTGCACTCAAAAAGTGTCATTAAATTATTACATTTTGCAGACCTTTTCTGTATTTTTGACTGTGGATGTATTGGTCTTGGCACTTAATTAGCTGGAAGAGCACATTGAGTGCACTGATTCTTTAAACTACACCAAAATGTAGTTCTGACATTATTATACACAACAGAAATAGCTTGTTACTAATACAGTAACATGCTCCAAAAAGTTATTTATTAACTTGATTCATAATCTATTTGTGTAGGACAGTCCAGACTCTTGGCGTGTTTAATGGAGCAATGTTGCTGGGAATGAAACGGGATGATATCAGAGCAATATGTCCTGAGGAAGGAGGTCGAGTCTTCTTCCAACTGCAGAGTGTCAGATCCACCATTGCAGTGAGTGATGCAGCTCTATCTGTTTAAAGTAAACTCACGCCTTGTACAAATTCTGTTATTTATGAAGCACTTTTCATTGTGGATTTCATTTTCATTTCTTTTGCAGCTTGCCAGTGAGGCTGAATACAGTCAGTATGGTGGCCGCTGATAAGCTGAGGAAATCGGTGCATTTTGATATCAAGAATCTGAACGTGTCTGGACCCGAATGAACAAGAACTATTCAGTAAAAACCTCAACATTTCCATTCATTAGACAGTTCACAGTTATTATATTACTCTTCACAGATGCAAATGATGTATACATTTAATGCATTCATTTTATTTATTTGGTTGTTCGCAACACATTAGTAGCCAATTTGGTTGACTAATTGTCTTTTTTTGCCTCAGTAAAAAAGTTTATTGGTCTTACAATAATCTTTTGATTTTGGGGTTAAATAATCATGAAATATAGCTAACTTCTGCTGCTGTAAATGTTTTTCTTACTCTTGAAATAATTAACTTATGGTCAAGATATCACACTGTATAATTAATATCCTTATTCGCATATTTAAGATATGGGCAACACTAATAAGCATCGAAAGAGAAAAAAAATACAGGACGAGGCTTGATTTTTACGCATCTTCTCATCATGTCTAGCTTGCAGCAGACTGACAGATGGGGGATGGTTAAGAATGTTCGTTTTTGTGCTTGTTTTTTAAATTATAATAATTAAGTGCATGGAAAAATCATTATAATAAACACTGCAATATTCCATGAAAAACAAAAATTGGCAATTTCACTTTCATGATGTCTTTAAATCTTCAGAAACATACAGTAAATAAAGGGCACTTCAAAAACCAAGATGATACACTTATTTAACCAAAAAAAAAAACAGTGGAAAGTGTAATGTTGGACATTTCATTCACTTATCTGTAACAGCTCACTGCCTACTTTTTCTAGAAACTATGTTGTATTCAGAATGCTGAATTTTTCATTAATATGTTGATTCTGGGTAAATTCTTTATCCATAAATTTGGGTAATTAATATAATGTAATGTAATAATATGATGTAGGCTAAAGTGTATGAAGACAAAATCTTATTTCTCTGTATTAAAAATGGACTTTCTTTGTAGCTATTTCCTATCATTAAATTCTATGAAAAGAAAACGTTTTCCCAGGGCTTTAAAAAGGCGTAAAAAGTGAAAGCCCTTGTTAAAGAATGCCGCAGGCGTTTAGTCTTAATTTGCAGTTGCATGTTGGAATGTAACCATACCCGAAGCGGCTTCCAGATAAGTTTAATATTTACATATAGCGAAGTATCAGTGGGCATGGCGAGACAAGACAAAGCATGTTCAATTTAATCCACAACTCCTGTAAAGACCACTGACAAGCTCTGAACCCCATGTTTAAAGTACAAAGGCATCAGCACCAAACTTTGCTAACGGATTATTTCAAGAATAGAGTATCGACTTCACTAAAGATGTAACTTTATGCAAGCTTTACATATTAACAGTGTTGGGGAGTAAAGTTACATATAACGGAATTACGTAATTTAATTACAAAATAAATGTAACTGTAATCAGTGTGATGAAAATATTTTATGTAACGGCCTCAGGAGGAGTCAAAAGGGTATGTTCAATATAGAATGTTCAGAAAAGTGCAGGCTAAGGATGCTCAAGGTATAAATGTACATGTATCTTTCTGTTCAGAGAGTCTCTCTTGGTTGTCGTGACCAGTGGGCTCCCGGCAGTGAATAAACTTTTATTCCTGCAAAGAGCAACTTTGGGAGTCTTGTCTGGTATATGCTGCACAGCTGAGGAATAGAAGTACTAAAGATTCCACACTCAATAGACCACCGCAAAGACAGTGATAGTGTTGGAAGACTATAGAGCCTCTGGCTGAGGCTGTAATACTCGGAGTTAGTATTAAAGATCCTGTGTTGGACCAGCTTACAGCTGAGAAGGACGGTGAGAGTGTATAGATGCTAAAGACCTGTGTGCTCATGTGTGATTGAGGTAGTGATAGTAGCTTCTTGACGGGACGCCGTCACCATATTTAGGGAAGTATTGTATGTATTCGGGGAATTAGCTCGAGATGCTGTAGATATTATATTAATAACTGGTAGTTGTTTGAATTGTCTGTGGTGAAGTCAGATTAGTATTGGGAATTTCCACGACATCAGTTACAGTTACTGAGGAAAAATGTGTAAGTTACTTATGAAAATATTAAAGATTACAAAGGGAGTTAGCTACATCTGAATATTTTCACCTACACCCACATACAGATTTAATTGACTTCTTTCTCAAATTGCATTGACTGCTCTAAAATATGAGACACCAATGTTTCAGGAGTTTAGGACACAGAATAGGACACGTTTCTACGATAGCTGTTTTATTTCCTATTTGGGTTTATGTATTTATTTTTTAAGATTAACTGTTAGATGCCTTTCCTGTCATAGCTATGCACAGATTTGATTTCAAAAACAGTATCATAGCTATTAAACTATTTCTTGTTATGGTTTTAAATCTGTAGTTAACCTCCTATTTACATTTCCAATCCAAAGTAACCTTACAAATACTGCATATTAAGTATAATACATTTGTATATTTTTAGACATGACAACCCACACCAAGAGCTATGTTAATCTTCTGTGATGACTGCAAGTTACACAGTAAACATTTTGTAAAGATCAAATAAAAATTAATTTAATGTGTAACCACCACAAAATATGTCTTACCCCGCGTATATCCCAGTATGCCAATTTCATTGCCATCTTGCAACTTGCAACGAGCACCTCTGTGCAGGAGCAGTAGAATGGAAGTGGTGCGGGCGCGCTAGAGTGCACTGTGGACGACGGGCGGGGCAAAACGAAACTTTGGGGCGTGTCCAGACCGCACGCAAATTCCGTCTTCACCATCACGCTGTTCAAAACTCGCATGAGTTTCTTTCTCCTGCTGAACATTTTTGTGCGGCGTCGCTTAAATACAGTACTAAACAGTATAGATTTTATTAATCTTTTTCTGCAATGACATATGCATTCTAAATACAAACACGTTTTAGCATTAAGGCCCGTTCACACCAAGAACGATAACTATATTAGCTATCGTCTGTTTATTCTGCTTTAAAGGGGTCATGAACTGGCTTTTTAAAATTATGTTATACTGTTGTCTCAGGTCCACTTATGACGTTCGCGTGGTTTTTACATTCAAAAACATCCAAATCAATAAGTAATAGATATTTTCTACCCTGGTTTTGAGGCCGGCTGGAGAAACGCTAGGTTTTTATGGGCGTGCCGCATTGAAGACTTTGAAGTAAACGTCCACTGCTATGATTGGATAATAGTTTTGCATAGTAAACTACCTTTTGTGTGTCTGTTTGACAAGCTATGTCCTTCATAGTTCCACAATACAGTCATGGCTAAAAGTTTTGGCAGTGACATAAATTTTGTGTTTTGAAAAGTTTGCTGCTTCAGTATTTGTACATTATTTTTCGACATGTTTCTATGGTATACTGAAAAACAATGATAAGCATATCATAAGTTTTAAAGGCTTTTATTGGCAAAAAAATATAATGAGTCAATATTTACAGTGTTGACCCTTGTTCTTCATAACCTCTGCAATTCGCTCTGGCATGCTGGATATTAGCTTCTGGGCCAAATTCTGAATGATGGCGATCCATTCTTGCCTTAGTTATCGGAGTTGATCACAATTTGTGGGCTTCTGCTTGTACACTCGCCTTTTGAGGACTGACCACAGGTTCTCTATGGGATTGAGATCCGGGGAGTTGCCTGGCCACGGAGCCAAAATTTCAATGTTATGATCTTCGAGCCACCTCTTCATCACTCTTGCTTTGTGACATGGTGCTCCATCATGCTGGAACATGGATGGTCTCAGGATGCTTCACTGTTGGCACAACACTGGACTCATGGTAGCGTTTTCCTTTTCTTTACCGAACAATCAATTTTCCAGATGTCCCAAACAGTCAGAAGGGAGCTTCATCAAAGAAAATAAATTTGCACCAGTCTTCTGCTGTCCAATCCTTGTGCTTCCTGCAGAAATTCAGTCTGTCCTTGACGTTTTTCTTGTGGAGAAGTGGCTTCTTTGCTGCCCTTCTTGACGCCAGGCTGTTGTCCAAAAGTCTTAAAAGCAACCCCACACATGGATGGTCTCAGGATGCTTCACTGTTGGCACAACACTGGACTCATGGTAGCGTTTTCCTTTACCGAACAATCAACTTTCCAGATGTCCCAAACAGTCAGACGGGAGCTTCATCAAAGAAAATAAATTTGCACCAGTCTTCTGCTGTCCAATCCTCGTGCTTCCTGCAGAAATTCAGTCTGTCCTTGACGTTTTTCTTGTGGAGAAGTGGTTTCTTTGCTGCCCTTCTTGACGCCAGGCTGTTGTCCAAAAGTCTTGGCCTCACTGTGCGTGCAGATGCTCTCACACCAACCTGCTGCCATTCCTGAGCAAGCTCTGCACTGCTGGTGACACGATTCCATAGCTGGCTGTAAGTGTTTCTTTGGAGGTAACCATTGCTAACAAGACGACAATGATTGGAAGAGCTTCTTCCCTCCTTTTATAGCAATCAGTCTGCTCTTACAATCTAATTAGTATGACAGTGATTAGTACTGACTAGTACTCATTTACACTTTCACATGTGCTGCTGATATCATTAGTCAATTAATGTTAGGTCATTTTGTGTCAGGATCAAAAAACAGTGATTTTTTTTTTGTTGAAACTTCATTAAAAATAAAGTTCAACCACGCATTCCTAATATTTGAGGAAGGTTATGCAGCGACTGGGTTCTTCCACAACTAGGCACTCCACAATATTTTGCGATCTTCAACGGCATGTTTATTGCTTGGTTGCTCGATCCGGTTTAGCACCACTTATGTTATTTCCCTACTATTGCTGCGTCCCAATGTGCCTACTTATACTACGCCCTTAAAGTATGTACTATTTTGGTGAAGAAAAAGTACACACTTTTGAGTGTGTAGAAGAGTAGGCAAGCTTTGGGACATACTATAACGTCATACAATTGCGTCTTTAACGGTCCGCTCTGTCGCATAATTACACGCATCCCGTCACTGTAAACTGGCCTGTCAATCATCATGTCACAGTTAACATCCTCCACATTTTATTTAATTTAACTTCCTATCGTATTGGAGAGAAATGAAGTAGCATGTTGATCTGCCAGCCGTGGGTCTTTATGCGGAGAACTCTGCTCATATTTTTTGCATAATGATGCATTTAAAAGTTAATGGCCAAACGGATGTTTATAAAAGTTCACATTGTTGTTGTAGATGAAATACACTAACACAGATAACATTTAATAAAAAAATTTAACAGGATAAATGTTGATTATTAGTAACTCAAACCCCTTTAAAACTAACCGTCGGTCGCGCACATCCGCCATGTTTGTAGTTTTTAACTACTATAACGTCATACAATTGCGTCTTTAACGGTCCGCTCTGTCGCATAATTACACGCATCCCGTCACTGTAAACTGGCCTGTCAATCATCATGTCACAGTTAACATCCTCCACATTTTATTTAATTTAACTTCCTATCGTATTGGAGAGAAATGAAGTAGCATGTTGATCTGCCAGCCGTGGGTCTTTATGCGGAGAACTCTGCTCATATTTTTTGCATAATGATGCATTTAAAAGTTAATGGCCAAACGGATGTTTATAAAAGTTCACATTGTTGTTGTAGATGAAATATCCTAACACAGATAACATTAAATTAAAAATTTTAACATGTTAAATGTTGATTATTAGTAACTCAAACCCCTTTATCTAAACCTCTCTACTTAACCGTCGGTCACACACAACCGCCATGTTTGTAGTTTTTAACGTGTTTTATTCATCTTTGTAGTTCTGAACCGAATCATTCGTCAAACCGCAATGGATTGTGGGTAGTATTAGCCATCTGAGTGTGCACAGATCCACACTTCAAAAATCTACCTGAAATAGTAGACCATCTGGGGACTTCTGGCATACTCTTTTCAACATACTATGCTTTGAGACACGCTTACTTTAATCTCACATACTATTTAGGATGGATAGTATGAACATTGGGACGCAGGGCATGTCATGCAAGAATCAGTGGGCGGGGCTACAGAATTGGCGTTGATATTCTTCTGTGGAGGTGGTGTTTAACCTATCTATTAGGCACATTCTAGGATCTGGCATTCGCTGGGCCTGGTGTCAATAAAAGCTTTTATTTCAGTAACAAGGAAGTTTTCAGTTCTGAAACTTACAGGATATTCTTTTAGTATGATGACCTCTTATATATCAAAAGCCCAAGTAAAAGTTCATTTCTCAATTCATGACACCTTTAAATTCTCGAGCTTGTTGTAGCAGGATTGATTCAGATTGGGTGTCAATGTTTTTCTGAAAGTGATTCCAATGATATCGTTTCTTTGTGCCTTTATTGTTATAGCTGTGGTGTGGACTCTGCTATTCTTTAATATTGAGATTGATTTTTAGAACTGTATCTTTATCGTTATCTTTATAGTTATCGTCCTTGGTGATATCCATAATGCTGTATAAATAATTCCAGCTGCTGTAAAATGTTTTTCACTCTTGAAATGATTAACCGAGGGTTGATATTTCACACAGCATATTTATAAACCCACAGGTTAATGTTCTTATTTTCATATTTATGAGGTGAATAAAACTGATTGGACAAATAACAGAACCCAACCGGTTTAAAAATTTCACATTTTGTTATTTTTAGAATTTTTTACTTCAACTGAATAGTACGAAACTTGGTAAAGGTTTTCACACTTGCTATGTGAACACACACACAAAAAATGGATATGATTCGAAAACATTAAAAGGTCCTGGAAAAAAGTCACACTTGTATTGGAAATTAATGGGAAGCAAAATTCATCTAGTGGAAACGTTTTGTACTGCGCCCAAACAAAATATTACTGAAAGCTAATTTTTTGAGATATCAAACTCAAATTTGGAACACAACTTGTTTAGATTTATGGCTTTTATTTCCATGCAGTTTCAAAGTATGACATGTTTTGGAAAATATATATTTCATATAATATTTGTTAAAAAGTATTTTTTTTATTTTTAAGTCTATGCTTTTTTATTTTTAAGTCTATGCTCAAAAAGTGTTTAACAGGTAATAATTGGATACATAACCATTCCATAAATATAATTTAGTACCATACAATCCCCTAAAATGCAAAATATTAAACATTATCGATCTAAAATCCTGTACATTCATTTCACCGAAATAAAAAAATCACTCATTTTTGACCGCCACGCGAGCAGCACCAGAGGGTTAAAGGTATAGTTCACCCCAAAATGAAAATTCTGTCATTAATTACTCACCCTCATGTCGTTCCTAACCCGTAAGACCTTCATTTATCTTCGGAACACAAATTAAGATATTTTTTATCAAATCCATGAGCTTTCTGACCCTGCATAGACAGCAACGCAACTGAAACTTTCTCAGACCCAGAAATGTAGTAAGGACATCGGTAAAATAGTCCATGTGACATCAGTGGCTCAACTTCAATTTTGCAAAGCTACGAGAATACTTTTTGTGTGCAAAGAAAACAAAAATAACGACTTTATTCAACAATTCTTCTCCCCCGAGTTACCGTCTTCTGCCATTTTGGAGAGTACCATGATGCATGCTCGCGCTTTCCCTGAACATAACCAAGGCGCAGCGCATACTTTTTGTGCGCAAAAAAAACAAAAATAACGTTATTCAACAATTCTTCACAAAAAGTATACTTGCAGCTTCGCAAAATTACGGTTGAACCACTGATGTCACATGGACTGTTTTACCGATGTCCTTACTACATTTCTGGGCCTGGGAACGTTTCAGTTGCGTTGCTGTCTATGCAGGGTCAGAAAGCTCTCGGATTTCATCAAAAATATCTTAATTTGTGTTCCGACCATGAACGAAGGTTTGGAAGATTACGAAAACAAACAATTTTTTTCAACGGATTAACTTGCACGGATTAATTGTTTACATCAAGACTAGCAATGTGCGCTAGTAAAGTAAATAAAGTCAATTTTGATTTCATGCGGACTTTAAACACTTCAGTTTACGCGTTTGATGTTCGACATTTTTACCGGTTTCCGTCAGAGTGACGAGGAGACGAAACAAGGGTGTTCTGCGACTTTAGAAAGCCTAGGACTCTTTAATAAGGTAACGTTAAGCACCGAGGCAGTTTATGACAACTCGCCGTAACGTTCTGGCAAAATGGCCTTAAACCAGCTCTCAAGCACGTTTTTATAACCCAAGGTTAAAATTGTCTTTTGCACAGTGCTTTAACACAGTGTTTAATGTAGCTCCTATGAACTTAAAGAATACAGCAAGTGTTTCGTCGTAATTTTGCATATTGCACACACGAAGCGGTTGTAGATAAACATAACTGACATATAATAATTATAACTTTTATAAAGTGTGGGCTTTGCGAGCAGCTAAACGACAAAAAGCTATTATTAACTCATATTAATAACTCCTGACTAGGAGTGAACGATTTTTAGGTATACGTTAAAGACGTTATCGTCTGTAAAATATCCACAGGAGAAAAAAATGCAGTTTGCATGTTTCAATTGCCCTCCTGCCCCTCTTTCAGATAACGTGGCCCCAGCCAATAGCTTTTCACCTGGACACAAGACATCTGTATGCATTAGTCACATGTTTTTCTCTCTGATTCCTTGTATTTTAATTGTCTATATCAGTGGTTTGGCTTCAGGATGCACACTGGACATCAAGTGTGACCAAACAAAGTAACAAAACTGAATGGCAGCCAATAATTTACCACACAAAACATACTGTGGATGCCACAAATATCCTCAAATGCAAAAGAAGCCATATATAATGTAAAGTAATCTGGGTCATATTTTCCTTTATATACTGTAGTTTTGGTCAGGGCTTTCGAGAATGAGGTCATTTTATGCAATCTGCTTTTGTTGGCTTTTAACTACTGTAATTTGACTAGTGACAGATAAGCTTGTGCCAATATAGTGTTGTGTTTTGACACACAACTAAATTGGTTGCCACAACAACAGAAGATATGAGAAGTATTTTATCCTCCCTTTTAAAAGCGGAAAGTCTTAAAGTTACATTTCAGTGAGGAGTAAAGTATTGTTTTTCTCTGCTGTCCATAATGAATTTTTTGGTCACGACACACCAGTTGAGAACCACCACTCAAAAGTTTGGCAAGATTTTTAAAGGGGTGGTTGATTATGATTTCACTTTTTGAACTTTAGTTAGTGTGTAATGTTGCTGTTAGAGCTTAAACAACATCTGCAAAGTTACGACGCTCCGAGTTCAATGCAAAGGGAGATATTTTCTTTTAAAGAAATCGCTGTACATAAACCCTGCCCCCAGGAACATGCAACTACCCGTAATGGTAAGGGGGCGTGACGTTTCCGGACAACGTGCACTAGGCGATTAGCGAATCACAAACACACTCAGCCCGCTAACCAATCAGAGCCCATTGCATATTTTTGAGGGAGGGGCTCAATAGAACCAGGAACTCAACAGACAGTTTGGACGAGAATGGAAACAGCGGTGTAGAATAAAGGTAAAATATGTTAAAAAAATGTTTTTTTTTAAAATAATGTTTCTTTAAAAACGAAGCATGAGCACATGTTACACTGCACCCCATAAACACAATCAAGCTTTCGAAACTAGGCGAATAGCGAATCACAAACACACTCAGCCCGCTAACCAATCAGAGCCCATTGCATATTTTTGAGGGAGGGGCTTAATAGAACCAGGAACTCAACAGACAGTTTGGACGAGAATGGAAACAGCGGTGTAGAATAAAGGTAAAATATGTTAAAAAAATGTTGTTTTTTTTTAAATAATGTTTCTTTAAAAACGAAGCATGAGCACATGTTACACTGCACCCCATAAACACAATCAAGCTTTCGAAAAAAGCTGATCAACCACCCCTTTAATGTCTTTGAAAGAAGTCTCTCATGCTCACTAAGGCTGCATTTATTTGATCAAAATATAGTAAAAACAGTAATATTGTGAAATATTATTACAATATAAAACAACTGTTTTATATTTATTCCTGTGATGACAAAGATGAATTTTTAGCAGCCATTTCTCCAGTCTTCAGTGTCACATAATCCTTTAGAAATCATTCTAATATGCTGATTTGTTGATCAAGAATTTTTTTTTTCTTATTATCAATGTTGAACACAGCTGTGCTGCTTTATATTTTTGTGGAAACTGTTACAAATTCTTTTATAGGATTCCTTAAAGTATATAAAATTCTAAAGAACAGCATTTATTTTAATTTTGAATGGAAATCTTTTGTAATATTTTAAATGTCACTTTTGATCAATGCATCCTTGCTAAATAAAAGTATTAATTAAAAAAAAAATCTTACTGACCCCAAAATTTTGAACAGTAGTGTATGTAGAAATGAAAATTAGTATAACATTTTAGAGTATGGTTAATTTTTAGGTCATGGTACCTAATGCTTTAACTTACCAGAATGTAGAAAGTAAAATGTGCACACTAAACAACACAAAACTGACTTTTGCCACTGCTGACAGGCGTACGTGTAGATGTGAGCACCTGTTGAGAAAATCCACTCATGAGCACACTGTTTCGGGACAGCTCACACATGTCACATGAGCTCAGCTTCCACACCTGAGCAGCGATGCTGTACTCCTCCATCAGCGGCTCCTGAACAACCACACACACTAGGTCAAACACATTGAGACCTCACTTAAGGAATAACAGATATAATTAAAAATATTTTAACATCTGATGGTATAGTTTGGCTTGTAACCTTTGTGAAGTGGAACTGCAGTGGGTCATCAGTGGACAAAGACACCATGAGACCCCGGGACAGGTACTCAGGCAGTGGATTTCGATGGTAACTGAGGAAGAGGCTGTTGTTGCTGAGTGGGGACATGGCTATGCCGATCTGAGCCAGGTAATACAGATACTGCAGTACAGGAGCCTGAGGAAGATACACAAACGTCTCTCTCTGGGTGGACTGATAAGCTCTTGACTGTTTGCAATGATAAGAATATTAGCTCTAAAATATCAAGTGTGAAAAAACGTGTTGTTGTTCTGTCAAAATTGTTCACAGTAAGTCAAAGTTGAAGAGACCCTCTCTTCAGAAATCAATGTTTGAATGGCTGTTGAATACTGGCACCTTTCAAAAATTGTTTACCATGTTAAGGTCTGATATTAACACATACGGCCTTGGGCTGATAAAAAACAATCATGAAAAAAAATATTTCTTGAGTTCACACTTACATCAAATAAATAGAGTTATGCGTATTTGGTGTGCTGTCCGAGGGGAGGGCTCCGAGCTCCAAATATACCTATTATCTTGTTAATTGGGTTGCTTACTGAATAAGCTCCTCTCACGTTAATTAGGTTAATTATCTGAACGTGCTCCTCCTGAACTTTGTTAATAAAAAAATCATTTAAAATATGAACATTCTTTGTATCTGAGCAGAACAGATTTCTAAGGACAACCATGATTCAGTGGAAGTATCTAGAGTTTCTTTACTTTTCTCAGAAGCAGGCCATGGGAAATATTTTCTGACAGCAGAAATCCAGACACGAGGTGGTGAATAGGCCCTGCCTCTCCACAGTGCGGACGTAATACAAAGGAATTCAAGTTTCTTTGCCTGTTGGGAGAAAGAGATGACATTTAATTACAACCGTGGAGCTAAAAACATCTTTTAATTCATTAACCTACACATTAGTTTTAATCCATCTTTCAAAAAAAAAAAAAAGCTCAATTTTAATCGGTATAAAATAAATTTTTACCTTAATTAATATACTGTATTGTGGTAAACAAAATATGCACTTAGGTGCATCAAATACCTGCGCAGGTGGTTGAGTACAGTCATATTCGCATACATATAGTACAGATAATACGAGTATGGAGGATTGTCCTCCTCCGTCCAGTTCACAGGTTTTGGACTGTCCAGGTTAAAGATGCGATGCTCAGGTTTTGACTCATCATCCACACTATCAAACCCCATAACCTGAAGGGCACATCAACATTCAATCTCACAATACAATGAAACTGTGATCATACTTGTTGATAATCTGATTTTATTTATACACAGGGTGAATAGTGATAGTTTTATTTTGTGGAGTAAAATGGGACCGTTGATTTAACCACTGAAATTAAACTTTAAATGACAGACACTTTCTTACAAGCAACTTAAGAGGCAACTTACAGCCTTTTTATAGGGACAATAATAAATGTATGTGCCAGGGGTTGAATCTTTGGGTTACTAGGTCAGATCATTAACCACTACCGCCACCCCTTGTCTTCTAAAGAAAAAGGTAGTAAGTGTAAAATCAAATGCAAACGCAATGTATGCTTCTGCTCCACAGAAGCACATTTACATATAATTGTACACTCAAGCTTTACTACTGTACATTACTAAAAGTTCACTCACATGTTGCAGAAAGAGATGCAGCTGTGGGTGGCTGCTGGGATTCACAGTGA